GAGAAACAAACAGACAGACAGACAGACAGACAGACAGACAGACAGACAGACAGACAGACAGACAGACAGACAGACAGACAGACAGACAGACAGACAGAGAAAGAGACAGACAGACAGAAACAGAGAGATACCCAGAGAGGGGGACAAGGTGGGAGTATAAAGAGAAATGGACGCCATTCGTTGTTTTGTCCTTCTGTCTGGGAGTTGTGACCTCCGAGGCTCTCTGATATCAAGATCTTCGTGCGTGACCGTAAAGGCACACCCTTCTCGGGGTGACCCTGTTGAGCCTCGACCTCGCGGTCCAGGAACGGAGCACAAAGGATCTAAAGGAGACAACCATGAAAATATATCCCGAAGCCTCAGGAGGTCGAGGGTGGAATCCAGGAGCACGACCTGTCGACAGCACCCTCAAGTATCCATGGAGGACACGGACCCAAGCTTATGGTGTCATCTTCGTGCCTAGAAGCTGCATGGCTGTGGGGAGTACAGTCACGAGCGAAGACCTTCTAACGTGCGAGCGAGGGGCACAAGGGGGACGGACCCTCTGGTTCCCAGCCCCTTGTCTAGTATGAGGCTGTGCTAGATGGACAGAGTACTTCCTCAGTATTTTGCAAACCCACAATGAAGGATCTAATTAATGAACAGGGTTCTCGCAGGAGCTAATGGTGTTCATGCTCCTTGCTCGAGCTCCTCTTCAGGAATGGGGGAACAGCCCCAGTGTGCTCCACTACCCGAGTCCCCTAGCATCTGACACCCTCGGTCTCCAAAACGTAATATGAGGTCAACAGACAATACAATAGTTTTTTGAGCTTAAAATTAGAGGTGTTACTAGAGAATAACATAAAAAAGGAGGGGTAAGGCCGATAGATGCTTAGTAGGAAAGGAGCAAAGCACATCACAGCATCTGCCAACCATCCGTGTATATGAATATCCGTATAAAAACAAACTATATTTTATCAACAACAAAAAATGGGAAGGGAATTAAAAAATGTCAAAGCATGATTTCAATGTAATAAATCATCTTTTAATTCAATAACATCAGGAACAATAAATACAAAATGTAACAACTCTTAAAATGAAAGTTCATTTCACTCAGTAAGTAGGCTACACAAAAGCGGAGACAATATAAACATTACTTTGTCATGGAAGCTAGAATTTTTAAGTGCTTTGGAACAAAATTTGTTCTGAAAAATCCAGAAGTTGAAGTAGTTGACTATGTTTTAGATGGAATCACATATCTTGATCTTTAAAGCTGCTCATCTTCTCATTGTGGCCAGCAATTAGTTGATGAAAATTTGCTCTCTTTTCAGGCACATACACACACTACAAGTTTTATCTTCACACACTGCCTTTATATGAAACATATAATTCTCCAAAATGTACTATGAAGTCAACAGACATTACAATAGTTTTCTGAGCCTAAAAGTAGAAACCAGAACAGTAGTATATAATACGGTAATAATATTACTGATAGTTGAAAAATGAAGTAAAGCAAAATGAGCACAAGCAACAATGAAAGTCATTCCCCCCCCCCCCCCCTTTTTTTTCAATAAAAAAACAACACCCCTCATCCTCCTCAAAAAAAAATAAAAATCCACCTAGGAGCAACATGTACAAACTAAACAACTTCTTCTAATTTCAAACACTACCTCTGTGTTTGCATATTTTACTGGACTAAAATATATGCCATATTTCCTTATATAACACTCTATTCAGTCTACTTATTTTTTTATGAGTGGCCCTCAATTCAACATTTCAACTCCTTTTGATGGCATGATTTTCATCATACTGGGAGGGCCAAACAAAAGTGCCTTATGGTTGTATTTGATTTAAATGGCATACCTTCCTACAATCTTTAATTGGCTATTATTTAGCCAATAACCTTAGGTTTTATACAACACAGCTTTCTACATCCACTTCTACTTCTAGCATTTGTAAAAAAAAAAAAAAAAGGCAGAAAAAATGTCTTAACCTTTCTAGATCTATTTGAGCAGAAAATATATGCCACCCTGAACCTTTGGATCCAATAGCAGTGCACAAAGTAATCTTACAGCACAGGGTAAAGGTGACATAAAACTAAGACACAGTGTGGCATTGCATGTCTATATTAGAGTAGTTGGCATTAACAGGACATAAATTTCATTTTGGTAAAATATCTTGAAAAAAAAATGTAGGAGACTGCTTGCTGAATTCCAATATAATGATGCCTGTTTGAGTAAAGAAAACCATATCAATGCAATGGTCATTTACTTCATTTAGTGCTGGGAAAGCATAAGACAGATAGACAGAAACAATAAAGGGAAAGTAAAGAAGTTGGACCTACCAGTGGTGTCCTCCCACCATCTGCTCCAATATTATGTCAACACAGTAATCCACAGTAGAGGCAACGATAGGTATACAAAAATTCAGCACTTTAAATCTAAGGGATCATACATGATATATATGGCAAGAAAAATTTGTTTCTATGACTATCAGGGTTATTGATAATATACCACAAAACAATTTAGCAACAATCAGGGCAAGCAATAAATAAAAATAGAAGCAGAGAGAAATCCTTGACCCAGACAGAACTTAGAAGCAAACAAGTGGGTGTTGCAAGCACAGTGGGATACTTGCACTGTCACTACAAACCATTCAGAAATGCTCACAAATGATAGTGTTATCAGAATGTATATTAGCACCAATGTAGGACAGCACAACAAAAACTACCAAAAAATGAAAGGAAAGGAACAATAATGTACTCAAGAGTTCAGCCAAAAAACACCAACAAAAACAAAAATCAGAAAAAGAAAATGTGTTCTCTGGAAAAGGAAAATTAAGTAAATAATTGAAATTTCAACAGTAACAAGTGCGATTTAAAATTATGGAACAAGTCGACAAATACCACATGAACTTATATTATATTAGCATACTTCTAAATTTCTTAGAGCGCTAAATAATACTTTTCAAACTCATATTACAGACTGAATATCTTTTGTAGTCGCTACAAGTGACTGGCATGTCTTTTGATGTAACAGATGATCGCCTTGTACTTCATTATGAGAAAACCCATTACAATGTATTCCAAACGATTCAAGTTATCATTTGAAGAGCACCATTTATACTTTTCAAAGACGAACAAAAGGACAATTAAAAGAAAGTCTCAGAAAAGCCTTATTTTCCTAAATTTCAAAATGCTTTACAAAATAACTTATACTAGCAGATATACTTGAATCAAATTCCAGATGCACATGGTGGCAACATAACTTATTAAGTAGCAAAATAAGTCATTCAGAAGTATGAATAGAATCTTTTAATGTAGGCCAACAAATTTTTTTTAAAATTCTAGGATGGACAAGTTAGAAAGACTGTGAAAATTACTAAGAAAATAAAAGCAAGTGAAAAATAAAACGGTTGTATCTTTCTGCTCAGAAACATTATATCGGCAGTGACCGGCGATACTACTTGATATTCTAGCCAGAATCCAAGCAAAAGCAGAACAATTTCTAAACAGCTGTAAGAAGGAACGCTGCACTTACTGACTAAGGTGAAACAGACACATCAATAGGTTTGAACGCAGGGACTAATATTAAGAAAGTTGCACCTTTTTAAAAAAAAGTTTTAGTAGAGGTTTTACGGCACTCGCAACTGCATAAGGTCATATGAGCGCCAAGGGCTGGATGTCAACAGAGAAGTCCTTACAGGGAATCAGACTTACTTTGTTCACCTCTCTAGCTTCAGCAGCTCAAAGTCTGCTTCGACTATCAAGGCACCCCGGAAATAGCTGACCACAAGAGTGTGACAAACATACAAAAGAAGTAGAGGAAAATAACGATAGTAAGGATTAGGAAAGAAAAAGCAGCAGTTCCCAGTTGTAGTTCAGGTACAGTTATGAGCATGACATTGTTAGATCAGCCCATTTACAATTCTACTGTGCACTAAAACGAGAAATGTCCCCTCTTTGGGAATGGCCTAAAGACACTTCTGTCAGGGGCACCGCCCCGGGGCATAAACTTGCACCTGAATTGACAGTAGTTCCAGATATCATGAAATGCCCAAATCTGGAATTTAACCATCTATACTAAAAAATTCACAAGTTCAAAAGTGTAAAACTTTCGCATCCCAATAAAAGTCGTCAAGTGAATTGCTGCAAACAATATGTCAGAAAGTCTCACTTTCTTTAAGCCAAAATCTGAAGTGTGATGAGTGGTTGTTCTTGTAATACATATTTTTTTAAGGTAAAAAAGGGTTACAAGGGAATATTCATTGTTACACCCAAGATGCTGGGGACACTGATTTTCAGATGCATCAATCCTTTTTTTCCCAAAAAGCTAAAAACTGGCCAAAGGGTGAGTACTCACAAACAGCAGACCAGCTAAAACAACAGTTATTTGCTTTTTGCTAATTTACCTCAGCGATGACAAATTCTTAGACATATAATTCATAAATTATAAACTAAACAGATCAAGATCAATTAATTGAATACATTGCTTAACTCAGTCATGATGGATAGCCAGTGAGAGAGTGCCAGAGGCAATTCGCCTGACAATAGTTAAAGACATAAGCACTAAGTAAAACAACCCTATTCACAAAAACTCAAGCATTCACAGTTTATTTAAGACACCATTTGATACCTAAAGCATCTTATTACGTCTTCAACTAGTGCTTGGAGTTCATATCAGATTTTGTTGGAGTATTCTCCCTTCACAAAATTTTGATCAAGGGTGTTAAACAAAAAACCCATCAAATTTAGATCAAATAAGTCAAAGAATAAGTGTATCAAACACCAAAATATCAGCAAATAAATTAATTTTGATAAATATGTATTTCAGTATTTTTTACGTCTGTATTGATGTCATGTAACCTTAAACAAGAGAGGAATTTTTTCTTTCTTAGATAAAAAAAAATATTAAATGTCAAGTTCAATCTCCTATAACTTAAATACCACATTTTTCAAGATATTACAAATTCCATTAAATAGCATTATCCACAACCATAAAGAAATGGCCCCCTGAAAATTTTAGGAGAGAGGAGAAAAGATTTAAAAAACAAAATATCGGTACCCATTTGTCTAAACAGTATGCACTTTATATTTTTAAAAGTTACATACGGGCATAAAATGAGCCACACACTGTGTCACTGATATTATGGATTTGATATAATGCAATTATGTAGTCTTACACTCTTGACAAAGGCATAGTGAAAGTTGGAGAAACCGAAAATCAACTATTTATGAAGAAGCAATACATATATTCACATTATATTGCATCCATGATTTCAAAGACACAGTGCGGCTCTGAGAATTTAGAGAGCTGAAAGTGTCCTTGGAATTAATGTTCCAATCAATATGACAGTGGTGCATTGTGGCCTCACATACAAATAGGAATAACGCAAAAACCAATTAGTCAGCAGCAGGACTAAGTCAAGCAAGCATAAAGCTGATGAACATACTAGACAATAAGGTGCAAAAGCCAGTTAGTGTTAAAGTAGAGTGAAATAAAAAGGTAAGAAGAAATGACAATGCTCTGTGGTTCACATCTTAACATCACAGCACAGTCAGTCACACATTAGCAACTCAATAATCCTCAGTAGAAAAAGAATGTAAGTTTTGATCAATTGTCAATAATTTCAAATTTGTAAAAAGCAAATTTCAACAAAAAGCTTATGCCAGTGCAGAAGTCTTTTAAAAATAATCTTGGATCACTAAGCACTATGACATAAGTTTATCAAATCAGATTCTAAATTCATTGAAAGATAGGTGTCTTCCTCACAGCGTATTTTAAAAAGTCTAGTTCATTGAAAGCAGTATAAGCCTTGCTTGGGTATCTTATTACTTTATACTTGAAAATTCTAAGAATTGGAAAGTATTTGCTTTCTTAAAAAGCTAGCTGGAAATAGGTCCGTTTCTCATCTAACTCTATTTATCTAGAAAACTCTCCCATAATATTTGAAGGATACAACATGGGAGGCAAAACTAAACTTTATTTAAACAAATCTTTTGAAATGTAATCTTGATAGTTAGTCCTTTTTATTCAGAGTGCTTTATGTTCATAATGTGATGTGATATCATCATTGACCAAGTGGTGATAATAAGATTGTCTGCTTATTTGTTAGCGTTAATCTAAAGAGAGTATGTAGGTACATTCATGCACATGTATTTTGAGTTAAGATGAAAGTACGGTAAAGCGGCTGATCTGTTTCATACTGGAGTGGGCACTATGGAACTTATCTGCATTATATCATCAATTAATAAAACAGCGCATAAAAAAGTATTAAAAATTACTCTTATTCTAATCGCAAAAAAAAAAAAGAAAGTGATTCAAATGCACCAAGTCAATTTGCATAAATAGTTTAAAAATACAAAATCCGCGCATATTGTCCAGTTCTGAGTAATATCAGAAGTACCATATTCAATCTCAATCAAGGGGAAATGGTATGTAGGCACGTAAGATTTTCATAATTTATCCAATATCACTTTACAGACATAGATATTCCTTTTACAAGCTTTGGTGTCCAAACTGAAATTTCAGGTCTATCAGATACATACATGTGTCATTCTGATAAAAATCAGGCTTCGATCAAAATAATGAAATCGAAGAAACTGACATGTTGCTGACCGTTGGGTAATTTTTATCAATTTTTTTGGAAGCTCAGTACCTTCTACGTCCAGTTTTAAAAACTCACTTCTGTGAGGATTTTATAGATAAACAGAGATCAAAGGCACAATGAGTATAAATGTGCAGTTTCCAAGTTTGGCAGCCATTTCCCTGCTTATTTTACATCTGATACCAGGGACCCCCTCCTCTTTCAGTCCCAAATATCTTTACTTCTATTTAAGATAGATGGGTATTTTTAAAAAATCAAATTCTAAGACAAATGAACAAGTTCTAAGATGATACCAATAACTCCAAATGACCCAAATCGATGAGAGCCTGATTCTACAGCGTGGTGACAATTATGTCCCAAAAGTAGACTACAATTGTTAAGGCTCTACTCCTGAAAGAAGAGTAAATGTCACACTTTGTAGAATGGCCAAAACAGTTCTTAGGACACCTATATGACTCTTTTTAAAATAGCAACAATTTGGTCAAGACACTAAATCAACTGTCTAATGAAAGGTCCTTGGAAAAATTAGAAATACAAAAGCAACTTTTTGTCATTACTTTTGTTATAACTTATGTAAGATACCAAGTTAGAACATAGAGACAAAACCACTGGAAAAGGTCCACCACACGTTTTTTTTAAAGGAACAAATGGATTTGGATGTTGGATGATGGATCATCCCTTCAAATTCCGGGGCCTGCATCTCTTTCAAAACATTTTCACATTCAATCCTACAACAGATAAATCTATACATCCACAGTCTCAACGCTCTTCGGCAAACTGTTCCTGGAGTCTAGATGCACGTTGGTGACTTCGATCGGTGACACACCATCCACTGAGCTGCGGAGTGACCTGGTCTCGTCTAAGAAGCCAATGTAGCAGATGAGAACAAAGAGCCACAGGCAGCAGTGTAGGGTAGAGCCAATCAGGTTCAGGAACAGCGTGAAGGTGGACATTCCTGTCACATGACGCAGTCGGATCAAGTTGACAACATGACAGCCTGTACCCCAGAACAAGTTCATGGCACCCACAGCTAAAGCACCTGTGAGTGGAAGAAAATAAAAACAGATTCAAACACATACTGAGTTAACTGACGTGCACTCTAGTCATCTGACAATGCTTGAAGATGTGCTAGCTTGGGTAATTTTAAAATGAAGCTAAGCTCCGTTATTTATCCAGCTTTTTTTCTCTTATGTTTTCTTTAACTGAAATTTTTTATAACATGAAAGAAAATGCAGACTACTAAATAGACAAATTTGTGTCCCCAATTTGAGTATGAAGATTGGAATAGTGTCATATCAATGCCTTTGGGTTGGCGGCTGATTGGTCAGGTGTTAACTATGTCTATAATGAGTCAAGATTTGCAACTTTTTCAACACAGTACAGTTCTATCATTCTTCCCAGAGTATTTCCTTTTAGTTTTAGTAAGGTTTTACGGTGCTCGCAAATGCATAAGGTCATATGAGCGCCATGGGTGGATGTCAACAGAGAAGTCCTTACAGGGAATTAGACTCACTCTCCTCACCTCTCTAGCTTCAACAGCACAAAATCTGCTTCGACTATCAAGGCACCCTGGAAATAGTGGGTCACAAGAGTGTGACTAACATACAAAAGAAGTAGAGGAAAAATGACAATAGTAAGGATTAGGAAAGAAAAAGCAGCAGTTCCCTGTTGCAGATCAGGCACAGTTATGAGTGTGACATTGATGAATCGGCCCATTTACAATTCTACAGTGCATGAACGAGAAATGTCCCCCCCCCCCCCATTTGGGATTGGCCTAAAGACACTTCAGTCAGTGGCACCGCCCCGGGGGGTAAGAGTATTTCCTATGCCACTTTAGTGTCTTGACTGCCACAAAGTGCTCTCCCTTCTAACTTATATACCTTTTTACAAATTTTGTTTTGTTTTCATTTAAACCATTAACATCTGAAACGAACCATAATAAATCAAACAATCTGTTACGCTAATCATAAGGTTCTTTTAATCCATTGTGATGAACACATGAAAACAATACTAGCTCATATTTTAGTATAACTATAACATCTTTTCATGTAAATAAAAATAGAATCTGAACATTATGTTACAGGAAAATGCACAGATGAGGAGTTCACGAATTCTAGGTTGAGAGCACAGGCTACTTTTCCCTTTCCAGTGTTGCACTGATAAGAAAACACAAGGAAATGCAAACGAGACTAACAATTTCGCACAGCAAAATAAGCAAGGAATACAGTGGTCTACCTGCTCCAGCTCCTTGAGCCAGTGCTGTGGTTCCTTCAGTAATCATAGCTACACCCACTACTGTCGACAAGTAGGCATTGCGGCACCATGATAAAAAGCCTAAAAGAGTTAAAAATAAAAAATTTGTAAAAACATTGATATTTAATTTTGCAATAAACAATAATGAGAGAAAATATATTACAATTACAATATTATCAGAGCACCAAAACTTCAATGTGTGAGACAGCGTGGTGGAATCAGGCTCTCGTCAAAATAATGAAATAGTAGAAAACAGCAGTTTTCTCCCTGCTTTGCAATTTCTATCAAATTTTTGTTTTTTGGCTCAACACCTTTTATTTCCATTTTCAAAGACATTCCTTTGAGGATTTCACTGAAAACGTTGATTAAAGGCACAAAAATACAAATTTACAGTTTCCATCGACTATCCAGCTTTGGAATTTACCAAGCTTTGGCGCCATTTTCCCGCTAATCTTACTTCTTAAATCAGGTGACCCCCACCTCCTTCAATCCAAAACATCTCCACTTCTATTAAAGATGGAGGGGTACATTTTTCTTTGAAAGCAAGACAAATGAACATGCTTTAAGATGATACCAATAACTCAATATGCCCAAGAAATGACGAGAGCCTGATTCCACCACGCTGCCTCACATATAGCTTTAAAAAACGAAACCATAATCTAAATATTTTTAAAACTACTGCAAAAATATGCTGCTACCTTAGTCCTGAGGTTCAGTCTTCACTTTACTTATTAGTAAGAAAAACTCCCAAAAACACTTTTTGACAAAAGAGTACAGTTCATTAATTTCACACAAAACCAACAACAATAAATGTACCATTTCTTTAAAAAAAGACCATATATACTCAGAAATCTGAACTTTACTGTTCATTAAATCAAGTGCTGAAAATTACTCAAACAAGACAAATTAAAGAAAGCGAATACACAATACAGATGTGAATGTTGACAACTTACTATTTTCATTCAGCAATCGCATGTTCTGAGGATGAGAATGTACACAATTTGATAAGAACAAGGTAATATGAATTGGTTAAAAAAAAAAAGGGCAACGAAGGTAGGGAAGGTGAAAGCTGATAATACACTGAAAACAGGCAGTTACAATTAAAAAAAACCATACATACCTTTCAGCAAGTAAACTTTTCTTTTTTTCTTCTTTCTTTTCGTTTCTGAGAGGTTAATTGCTCTGAATTTCTTGCCCATTCTGAGATAATTTTTATTTTAATGTTTCATTTGGAGGGCATTTTTCCCTTGCGTTATCACGTGAAAGCATGTCTGCCCTAATATTTCTGTGTGGTAGTATTGAGAGTAGGTACGGTACATTTCACCTTATCAAAAAAGGGACATGACAGTAGGAGCACTAAAAAAGCATAAGGAGAAGACAGTGCCAGAGAGTCTACTCAAATTAATGAAAACAAATCTATCAACAAGAAACTACCGCATTGTATTCTGACAATCTAACTGAAGTTCATGGAGGAAAATGATAGCAAAAAAACAACCCAACATTCTCAAAACACTTACCATCTCAGTCACCAGCAATGCCTTCTCAGCATCAGTTGGAATCTTTGATGTCGCTCTTTTTGAGTGAATAAGATGCAATGTTGTGCCTAAAAACTGTCCTTTTTTTATTGCTGACTTCCCACATACTATTCCACCATTTTCAACAAATTCATGTTGATGATATAAATATGGATTGCCTACACTTGCAACGTGATGAATTTGTCGTGTCAAAGGAGACATTCCACAAGCAGAGGACTGGACACACAGAGGCAGAGCCTTCAAACTACTTAGCTGTGGCCTAAAGTAGCGAAACACACTGTTAGCACATGAATTCATTGTAATTATTTGATCTGTAAATTGTCCTTTAATATTCTTGTCTGAACTATCAGAATTGTTGAAGAACAATTTGTTTTACTTATGACACACAAATTCCTTTGCTGAACACTCCATCCAAGGTAGAAATCACCAGCATAAAAAAATCAATCTGAAAAGAATAAAAAGAAAAGGACATCAATCAAATTGTACACATGCACATTGTAGGCCTACTTTAGACGCACTAACACAGAAAAGGATCAAATGTTAAGTGTGCAGTAGACCAATTTTCGAGTAACACTGAAGGAAGTAAAATATCACCTTTGGTAATTGTGAAGAGAGGGTCCCTCGACAAAAACTAGTCTTTTGCGCATGTGGGTCTAGCCTAGTCCCATTGTTCTTTTGTCCCTTCCCTGTAGAAAACTAGTAAACTAGGAACAAGGGCAGCCAGTTAATTTTTACTTTCAGTCCTGCACACAGTAGATCAGTAGTCTAGTGGAATTTTATATTAATTTAAGGAGAAAAGATATTCAATCTGGCCTCAATTGTAAAATAAATGATCAAGTTAAGACAAATTGATACAAACTTTCTGTGCAAAGTATATGGGTGACATTGATTCACCTGTTTTAAAGAGATATTTGAGGTACTGTACAGTGTATAAGTTGCGCCATGAATTTTTCACCACACTGTAATGTATAGTATGCAAGTGAACAGGTACGTTAGAGTAGACCTAAAATTGTACACTTTAAACCGCATCTCTGATCTTTATTTAATCTGAAGGTTAAAGTTGGACTTCCTCTCTGGTGTATGAAGGTGGACTTCAAAGATTTCTCCGGGTATTCTTTTACTCTCACTACTGTCTCATGCTCAGGTTTTGTAAAGCCCTTTCTATTTCATTTTTATCCATTTTACACAAATATTGACTTTATATTTGTAGCAAATTAATAGTTATTGAAATATTTGATAGTTTCTATCCAAACTATATCACACTAAGCCTAATTGCGTCAACACACCCGTAATATCTGAGCTTTTGACCAATAAGGGGTCATGTTCCCCTATCTATAATTTTTTGTTTTGCAATATAAAAGGCTTGAAATTTTCTTGCAAATAATTAACTTGCGACAGTTTTAGTGGCATGTGTGATCTGCAGTAAAAACTACTGCTGTTACAGTTTGACCCTCAGGTATTCTTTTATAATTTCCCTCCCATCTCACAGTGCCCATTTTCTATTTCGATGCGCTGAACACGAATTTCCATATCAACTTCATTTCCGTCATAAATTAATAGTTTTTGAAACATTTTAGGTTTTTTAATCAAACTAGATTCTACACTTAAGCCTAATTGCCTAGTGGAACTCATATTCAAAGAAAACTTGGATTCAACAAAAAGAGATGGATTCTCCCCCCCCCACATTAAAATCAATTTAAAAAAATAACTCAGATTCAAAAAACACATAAAATGAGCAAGCTCAGATTCAACGAAGTCGTTTGCAGGATGAACAGTCCCGCTGATGCGACTTCGCTTAATTCATCCCGCAACAAAGATGTAATATATATTCCTTGAAACCATCTACTGGCACCTGTATCATGGATGTCTTATTCTCTTACCCTATTGTTTACATCTAATGGAAATACCAGTCCTTTCGTCACACCAGTGCAGTCAAGACGTCACAGTCATTTCATCACACCCCAAATTCACAAGGTTGAATGGAGACGGTCGTTTCGTAGCACACTAATTGCAAGCATCAAACGCTCATTGTCATGGCAATCGCAAATCACGATTTTTTGGGAGAGGGTTGGGACTGTGTGCGGACAGGACGGGGGG